AGAGAGAGAGAGAGAGAGAGAGAGAGAGAGAGAGAGAGAGAGAGCGCCACCTGTGGAGCGAGAACTGCTACCTGCCCCAGGTGTGGGCTCCCTGCAGAGACGGCCTGTGCAGCCAGAGGGCTTCTCCCAGCCGGGAGGTGAAGGGACCCTTAGGCTGCCCCCCAGCCCGGCTTTTGGCCTTTACCTTGATGGCTGGCGCTTCGTGGACAACTCTGGCAACCGGCCTCTTCCCATCGCAGAAGAGAAGTTTGGCCTGGCGGGAGAGGCGGCTGGTCAGGAGGGCCGGTCAGCATCCCTGAACCCGAGGGAGCCCCGCCTTCCCCGCCTTGAGCAGCCCAGCGATGCGCTTTCAGTGACCCCCCGTCTCAATACTCGTGTCTTATTAGTTCGTCAAAATGTAAAATGCAGAAATATAAATATAATGAAACGAATGGGAAAACAGGAGAGGAAAAAAGGAATGAACTTCCGGCTCCTTTTGGCACAGTACAATAAAGGTCATTCCACACGACCTTGTGCGTCTCTTCTGACTCCGTTATTGAAAAGTTATTTTACTTTTGCATCGTGGAGTAACAGAGTCAGAAGGGACCCCGGGGGTCTCCTAGTCCAACCCTCTGTTCGGACAGGGGACCCCCCATCATTTCAGGCAAACAGCTGTGCGTCCAATCTCTTCGGAAGTGACGGAGCAGCCACAACAACTCCCGGAGGCAACTGCTGCTCCGCCGATTCACTGTCCTCCCTGTCAGGAATTTCCTCCTTCATTCCAGGTTGCTCCTCTCCTTGATCCGTTTCCATCCGTTGCTTCCTGTCCTGCCTTCTGGGGCTTTGGAGAACTGGTGGAACACCCCCCCCTGGCCCCCCCAACCCTTGTGGCAGCCCCTCAAATGTCGGAGCACCGCTGTCAGGTCCCCCACAGTCCTTCTTTTCATAAAACTAGACCTACCCAATTCCTGCAACCATTTTTGCATTATGTTATGTTCCACTGCCACCGAGTATTATACTCAGTGATCACCCTGGCTCCGCAGCTGGCGTTAGCCTTTGCCCAAGGAAGACGGAGAGAATGAAAGTGGCACTTCGCGGTGTGGGGAGAAGTAGAACCCAGGGCCCCCCCTTCCCCCGGGGGTGGCTGCCCCCCCCCCCCACCTGCTCCAGGCAGCTGCGGCACGTCTCCTGGATGAGTTGCTCCGTGTCCACGTCCTCCCCGACATTCTCGCGCACGTTCCCTGCCGCCTTTTGGAAAAACTGGAGAAGAAGAAGAAGAAGCCCCTCAGAGTCAGGCGACCGTGGGGACAGAACTGATGCCCCCCCCCCAGGGATGCATTGACCGGTAAGTCCTTGACTTGTGACCACCACAATGGAGCCCAACATTTCTGTGGTAAGCGAGGAGGTTGTTCAGCGAGTTTTGCCCCACTGGAGGACCTTCCTTGCCCCAGTTGTAAAGTGAACCTCTGCAGCTAGTAACACGGCCGTTCAGGGAACCTGCCCCCCCCCCCCCCCAACTGAATTTGCTCCTCAGAAGATGGCAAAAGGGGATCCCGTGATCCCAGGGACACTGCGAACGTCATAAATAAGAGCCAGTCGCCAAGCATGGTGAATTCTGTTTGTGGGACCACGGGGATGCTGCTATGTAAGCGTTGTAACTTCAGGAACGAACTCAAGGCTTGCAAGCTAAAGACTACCTGTATTCGTCTATGGCAGAGCTCTCCAAACTTGGCAGACTTGTGGACTTCAGCAAAGCTGGCTGGAGGATTCTGGGAGTTGAAGTCCACAAGTCTTAAAAGTTGCCCCATTTGGGGACCCCTGGTCTATGGAGGTTCTCCCTAGTCATGCAGGTCAGGGTTGTCCCAAAGGTGCCTTTTTTTCAAGAGGCCACTGGACTTTCTTGCCTTTTCTTTGAAGACGTTTCTCTTCTCATCCCAGAAGCTTCTTCAGCTCTGAATGGAAGGTTGGATACTCTTTGCAGACCAAGAATCCTTCTGTTCCCCACCCTCCAGTCTTCTTTGAAACCTCTTCAAAGAAAAACCCCTGGGAAGTCCAGTTGCCTCTTGAAAAAAAAAAGACCTGAATTTATTTATGGCCGCTCTTATGAAAGGCAACTGCAGTGGATGCCTGGCCACCCCCAACACCCGCTGCCCCTCCGGTAGGGTCCCCCCCCCTGCAATCCTGGCTTCCCACTGGGGCCTCTCGCTGGAACGGGCGAGGCCAGGGTCCCCGGGAGATGTGGGGGGGGGGGTCCCGCCTCTGGCCAGGCAGCTGCTCCCCCTACCAACCCCCTCCCCCCGCCCTCCCCAGCCCCCTACCTTCATGTACTTGCCGAAGACCGCCTGGATCTCCTCGTTGATGCTGGGCTGCAGGACGGCGCGCAGCAGGTCCATGGAGACCACAGGATCTGTGAAGCTGCGGGGGGGGGGGTGTGGAAGGTGGGTGACACCCTCCTCGCGACCTCCCGGAAGCAAGCCTCCCTTCCCCCTCCCCCCCCACCCGCCCCGGGGAGGGGGCCTTACCTGGTCATCATCTGGGATCGCCGCCCGCGCCGCTGCACCAGCCGGTGCTTGATCATGATGTTCCAGGGGCTCTACGGGGGGAGGGGGGGAGAGAAAGGGAGGGGTCAGAGGCGCCCCCTCCCCACGGCCCCACCCCCCCCGATTGTAGGCCCCGCCCTCACCGCCGCCCCGGGCTCCCCGTCGACCCCCGCCGCCTCCTCCTCCTCGTCGTCCTCGGGCTCCTCGTCCTGCGCCGGCGGCGGCTCCACTTCCCGGGCGGCCCCCATGTTCCGACCAGCGTCCCGAGCCCCGGACGCGCCTCCCTGACGTCACCGCCGCGCCACGGCCAGACCCGGAAGCGGCGCGCGTTGCCCGGCAACGGCGGAGTCTGGGCGGGCCCTTAGCTCCCCTCCCCCCCCCGAGCGCTTTAAGCGTAGCGCCCCCCACCCGCCAGGGAGATCCCCCCGGGGAAGAGGGCGGGGCCTGTCCCTCCCCAGGCAGGAGGAAAGGGGGTGCGCCCGTGGACCCCGCTTGACGTTGGGGCACCCCCATACATTCCCCCCCTCCCCGCCCCAGCCCAAGTGAAGGAAACCCACCGACTTCTTTGCCCCCCCCAAGGAAGGAGGGTGAGGGGTTCAATTGGCCCCCAGGGTGGCTTCAGGGCTGGGCCCTCTTGGCCCTGGAAATGGGGGGGGGATTGTGGGCCTCTTGGTACCCCAGGGGCTGCCGCAGGTGCAGACATAGGTGGTCCTCGACTTATGGCCAAAATTGAGCCCAACATTTCCCCTCTTGAGCAAGATGGTTGTTAAGTGAGCCTTGCCCCATTTTGTGACCTTCCTTGCCTTCCTTTGTTAAGCGAATCACTGCAGTTGTTAAGTGAGTCACATGGTTGTTAAGCATATCATTCCCCACTAACGTCAGGAGGGTGCAAAATATGGTCACGTGACCCTCGGGACGCGGCGACCGTCACAAATACGAGCTGGTTGGAAAGCATCCGAATTTTGATCCCGTGACCCTGGGGAGGCTGCAGCGTCCATAACCCTGGATGAATCGGTTGGAAGTCACTTTTTCCAGTGCCATCCAGTGACTTTGAACGGCCACTAAATGAGACAGCTGTAAGTCGAGGACCTCCTGCAGTCCCCGCTGGTGGGGCTAGAGACTATGGGAGGTCGGGGGAGGCACATAAGGGTTTTCTTGCTTCGTGGAAGTCTGGGCGGGCAGCCAGTTGAGGCTGGAAATGTTCCCTCCTGCCCTGCGGGTTTCTCCCCTTTTCTGCAGAATTGGCACGCTTGCAAGAGAGACAGGCATGGCGTCGTGCCTTCGCCTACTTTGCTTTATTTTTTTGAAAACCAATTTATATAGCCACCCAACTCACACATAGGTAAATAGAAACATCACAAAAAGTCTTATTATAAAATAAATCCATTAAAAAACCCCGCCGTCTCCCTCCCATGGCAGGAACAATACAATCGGATTCGCCACTTCATCGGCTCCGCCTCCGCCTCTTCAGACCTGTTGGCAAAACCTGGTTCCCTCATCCAAATCTTTCTTTTGCCAAAGCTTTCCTAAGGATGCTTCCATCACTGGGTGGGAGCCGGAAACAGGTTTGCATTTTAAAATCGGAAAGGCCTGGGGAAAAGGCAGAGCTCCAGACTTCTGGAGGGCAAGCCAGCAGACGGGCATTTCTGAATTAATGGGCAGTGATTTGGAGAGCTAGAACGGAAAGGGTGGATTCCACCATGTGCCTCCAGCAGAAGGTCAACAGGTACCAGGCTGTGGTGTCCCCTTTTTCTCCAGGTGTGCAATGTGTGTGTGTGTGTGTGTGTGATAGAGAGACAGAGACAGAGAGAGAGAAATGTGGGATTTGTTGTCTAGTTTTGAAATAAACAATCACCAGCCAAAACTTCCAGAAGAAAACAATGGTAATTTTATGTATTACATTGCAAAGAGGGTGCCCCCACGCACATGTAGGTACAGTGGACACACCTTAAATCAGGAGTCCCCAAACTGGGCAACTTTATGACGTGTGGATTTCAACTCCCAGAATTCTTCAGCCTGCTGGCTGAGGAATTCTGGGAGTTGAAGTCCACAAGTCTTAAAGTTGCCAAGTTTGGGGACCTCTGCCTTAAATCATCAATATGTTTGCCTTACATTCCCTATTGCTGTTAAATTTACCTCCCACCTTTTCCTTATTGGCTTAGTACTTATGCCGTCACAAGGTATCCGAAGCGTCTAAATGAAGACATTATCTCTGCCTCGGATTTCATCTCCCATTACTCTAATTCTATCGCCCCCCTGCCCTTACTTACAAATTAGCTTTTATGATCTTAGTTCCTAGGGGTTGTCTCTAGATTAATGATCATATCAGCAAATTCTGGTTAAGAGCGGTTGCTAGCATAGCACAAGCCTTCCTACATATAATTCTCAGGCTTCGGCCTAGCTCATGGGATTAGAAACCTGCACTCTGTTTTCTTCACAGGCCAGCATGTCTTCTTACAATGCTGTAAAAAACAATAGGCTCTTCTTTTCCACAGAAGTAAGGGAGAGGAGCAGAGGTCCTCCCCCTGTTCTCTGACTTCTAATCGTTCTTTATTGGATCAAGAGGATTGCACAATCAATCCGCCTTGGGGAGCATCCGCCCAAGGTCACCCCTGGATTCTGGGAAAACGATTGGAACGGGCCCATGGGGTGAAGCTACGTGTGTCAGCTTTGATTAAATCTAACAGAAACAACATTTTGTTGCTGTCAGCCGCCCATGCTATAAGATGGGCGGCCTCACGAATCTATGATAAAAGGAAAGGATTTCCACCAAGCCTCCCTGCTAACTGAGGCCATGCTGACAAGGCAGAGGATGGCAAGGAATCCAAATAGAAAATGCTAATGGATGGCCATACAGATGAACTGGAGTGATGAAGCGAAGGTCAAGAAGTAATAGGTGGAAGATCATTGAAGAGGAGAAATTTTCCGAGAGTGAGAACAATCCACCCATGGAACAGAAGTTGACTCCAGAAATTGTGGCTGCTTCGTCACTGGAGGCTTCCAAGAAGAGACTGGACTGCCATTTTTCCAGGGTGGTGTAGGGTTTTGTGTTTGAGCAGTGGGCTGGACTAGAAGACCTCCAAGGTCCCTTCCAACCCTATTATTCTATGTCCTAAATGTGGAGGGGGTCACTTTGGCCTGAATGACAGCCCCTTGTAGTATCAGATTGGCTGGGGGGCAGGGGAGTCTCCCCTGGCACTTAAATCTGGTTGCCATCCAGGGCTCAGTGAAGACACTATATGCAGAAACGATTGTAGGCGCCAATCTCGAAGTCATGAATTTAATGGGCTTAATGGATAGGAAGCTGAGAGAAGCCCCCAACAGGCACGGCAGAATTTGAGCGCAAAAGAGTTGGCAAAACAATGATTGAAAAGGAGGGGCAAAGGCTAGGGTGGTGATGTCAAGTATCTCTCATCCCTTGGAGATGGTTGAGCATTGCAACAGACATCTTTATGAAGGCAGGGGGACTCTGTTGGGATGCTGTCCCTTGGGGAGCTTGTCAGTCTGCCTCCCACCCAGTGGGAACTGCCCTCCAGGCGGGCAAGAAGGAGAAATCCCCTTTTGGCCTCTGTGTTCCTCTTCCTTAATCCTCAGGATTGTGAGAGATTTATTTATGCATTCATTCATTCATCTACTATGTACGTAAATACATAGCTTTTTCTCTGGTAATATTACACTACTAACTATCGTGTTTCTCACAAAATAAGGCC